CCAGAGTGGCAAATGCTGTTCTGTATCTTATGGAAGAGGCACATTTGCCTGTTTGCTGATGCTGGCAAACCTGTGCCACAGTGATGAAACTACTCTAGATTTTTTCGATTATCTTGCTAATTGATATCACTTTCTTCTGTGTGGGGTGGTGTTTCTGGAGAGGGCTGATTATTGCTCAGCTTCCTGTCCAAGTCTGGAGAAATTTGAACTAATGTAAAGTATGGAAACAAGTGACTAGATGGCAGCTGAGTAGACATTCCCACTTCAGCTTTGATCCAGATGGGGAGAATAACAATAGCAGGGGTGATGCTGGGACAAGGACTTTGGCATGGGATTAGAATTTGCTCTATGCCTACCCATACAGCTGTTCCACATCTGAGCAAAGGGTAGAGCTAACATACATGTGTAAACATTTATGTAGGTGCTGCAAAGCCAACCTTGATATGCATGTGCTGTCTAAAGTGCGCAGGAATCATCTTTGGCATATATGTGAGCATTTGTGTCTAAGCATATGAAACATGCCTTCTGCCTTCTCCATCCTGCCCTAGAGGCTTCTCTGCACACAGTGTTTCTGAGAACTTGCAGATTTTCCCTCCCAGCAATCCCAATTTTCTAACATTTGGTTGGAAACTTCTACCCCCTGTGCCTAGTCCCTTTTAAAAGCATAATAATTTCAACTCTAATACCTAGACATAGGGCTGAACAGGTCTCTTCTCACATACACCAGAATGTAGTGGCAAATAACTTATTAACAAGGTGGCCTTAGGTGATTTTAAGACTTATGTTTTTCTGCTCTGTTATTGAGGTTTTCTGTTTGATCCTACCTATTAACACTCTGTATTTAGACATTGCTGTGACATTGAAAGGGACTTTCTGCAGAAATAATGGTCCCTGAAGCACCTTGCTGAGGCTGGCAGGATGGTTTTCTCACCGCCCTTTCTGTCTTTTGCAGCACTTGACTCCTGATCCTTTGTGCAGGACACTCACATTGCATGTGCTTTCTTGGAGGGCTGTACTGTTTCCAGCACTGCAACTATCCTACAGCTTTCAAATACATTTCTCCTGTCTTGGAAAGATGAATTTCACTGATTTCTTGTTCAAATTCTTCTCACTCCTCCCATCCCATAGTTTGCAAGCTTGTGAGAGTTAGCTAGAAAATGTTTCAACTCAGATGCCACCTATTCCATCCCATTGGAAAACCTGACTGTAGCAGAAGCCTTAAATCAAAAGTCTGTGTGGCAGTTTCTGATCTTTGAGGAACTTTAGGAGCCGTCACAAAGAAAAATTCTTGTTCTTAGTTAAACCAAGTTGCTTGGTATGGATTGAGGCATTTGTCAAGTAGAGCCATACAAAAGATGAAAGCAGTGTCTGTCAGTGAAACTACTGTATTTTGGCTTATGTAATTCTACGGGGGTTTTCTGTGTTTTGTTTTTCAAGGAAACGGTAGGTGCCTTCAGCATTTTATCTAAAAAGTGAATTATACATTGCAGAAAACATTTCATTCTAAATTTAACAGCTCTTCTTTGAACAACAGAAAATGTAAACTTGTTGCTGATACTTGAACTGAAGTCATGGTGGTTCCTAGTTGTTACTGATATTTTACAGTGACAGCCCTGTTCTGCTTACAAGGTTAATAAAAATAGTAGCTCACTTAACATCTGATGTTGCACTAAAATTTACTGATATGTGAATGTGCTGCTCCCCATCCTGCATTGCCATGGTGTGTGCATATGAGAGGTGTGTGTAAAATGGAATAGCAAGACTGTTACTGCAATGATAATGCCATGCAAACAGTGAATTTATTGTGCAGGGCTTCCCTGGCCAGTGGAGCTGCAAGCACAGAAGAACAAACTTGCTGTGCCTTGCACAGCACAGATGGGGAACAGAAATGCATGGCTAAGTCTTGATACACTTTAATGAAAGTGGATTAAAAAAATCCAAACACTTAAAAAAGTGGAAGTTCCCATTTGTTTCAAAGTATGAGAGACCTGGGACCATTCTTGTTCTAATTAAGTTGTTCTGAAAAAAAAAAAAAAAGAAAGAAAAAAACCACCTCAAAAACCCTCACACATTTGTTTTCAGAAGATATCAGTGTTTTATATGGTTAAATGTAAGTGTCTTAACTGGTTTAATCATTAACCAGGATTCCATGTTGGTATCAGGACAGCAGGTCAGCTACATGAATGTCTTTCCTTCAGCATTTTCTAACGTGTTTGATCATGTGTTATACAGACAAAAATGTTTTCTGTAGCCTATATGATTTCTACAAGTGCTGCTGTAGGCCATGCCAGCACTGTTCGTAGTGAAAGGGGAATATAAATTTATCTGTCACTGACAACACTGATTTCCTTTGGATTATACTAAACCTTCCCGGCTTATGGGTAACTCCTGTCTGGCTTGTAAGGATGCTCCTGAAGGAGGAATTCTTTAAGAACCACCAGATTATACCAAATCCTGGGTGGATTCAAAGTGCTTCATGAGGAAGCCACAGTCTCCCCATCTACCAAGACTTTAGCCCACACTCACAAATCAACCTGTGTGTAACAGTCTGGGGTTAATGAGGGTTAAGGAGGGAATATGGATTGTGGGTGGTGAGTGTTCAGAGATGATCTTGAGACAGAATCTGAAATGTTGCAGCTTGCTTAAGTCTGTAAGATGGAAGGCTTTTCTACATTGTGGTGTGATGTGGAAGAAGGGATGAATGGTCACTGAAGAAAGTCTGGCGCTTGAAAGACTGTTATCAGGTGCTTGTACTGTGGTAATGCCCCACTCCTGGCTTTCCTGTGGTGATCCTGGCATACTGGTTGTCCTAAGGAGCTAGGCTCAAAGGCAACACAGAGGTCTGCAATGAGCTTCAGCAGCCTGCACCTGGCTTTTGTGTTGGTATTTTCTGCAGACAGTTGTGAAATGACCCTTTTTACCCATAAATATAACAAGCTAAATGGCTTCAGTTAAAGCTGGCATCAGGCTTGGGAAATGGGCATTAGATTGGAGATCAGAAGAGAGAGAATAAGGCAATCAGAGGGAACCTAATGCTAGATAGAGCTCGATTAGATATTTGCCCTTATTTCTGCAGTCCCCAGGCATGACATACGATTTGCTTCTCAATTCTGTTTCAATTCCAGTAGCAAATAGCAAGGTCAGAGAAGATGTGACTGGGATCTCTGTGCTCATCCTGTCTGGTCAATGCCAATTTGACAGTTAAGTTTCTGCAGGGAAATTTTCAGCCTTTTTATCAAGTGCAATATATCTAGTCAGTGAGCACACCTCCAAATCCAGACTTCCTCTATGAACTCTTGAGAAGAGATCAGATGGAAGAAATCCATGTTCTTCTGTTGTCTAAAATATTCGGGGCTGAAACAGGAAAGGTTCTGCCAGCCTCAGCTGCCAACCTACCCGACAGATTGAGATCTGATCCAAACAGCATCACTTACTACCAGCTGGCTTGTAGATTCCTGCTATTCAGAGTATTTTCTTTCTGGAGATGCACTGGGACTAATACTTAGCTGTTATGAAGTGCTCCAGTCCCTCTGTGGTGACCAGGTTCCCAGAGATGTTTTGCCCTCATCTTCTATAGCTGATTTCCACCTGTGCATCTATGCGGTCCCTTGAGCATCATAGTTTTTCAGCGGCTAAGGACTGGTGATTGGGCATTACCCCTACAGGGTAATGGCCCTGAGGGCACAGCAACAAGGTGGCTGAAAGACTTTTCTTCTTGAGAGTGGGAGATATGATTCTGAATCAAGGATGGATTATCCAACTGAGCTATCCAACCAGTCAGTGTTATCCAACTGACTGGTAATACAGCAGAGGGGTGATAATTCCAAGAGTTGTTTTTTCTTTCTTACAGTAAAGGTAGCAAGGACGAACAACTGTGAGGTGTGAGAGTAACACTCCTGTTTTACAGCAGTGTTTTGAATAGGTGGTACAGCAACATTTCTCCTTAAGGAGGCTGCTAGTTTTAGAGCTGTTACGCGATTACGGAAGAATGAGGAGCTGGTAAGACTTCAAATAGGTGAACAGAAGAAAATAAAGTGCCCAAATGGCAAACGTCTGCCTTTCTGCCTATCTTTGCTTGTCTGTACTTGAAATCCTGATAGCTGGGCTCACAGAGTAGTATTTGACTAAGCTGCTAAAAAACGACAAACAAGTATTCCTCACAGGACTCCTTTTGAGACACCAATTATTGTCCCAAATCACAAATATTGCAGCTACAGCAAAGGAATCCAAATCACTGAGCTAGCTGAATCAGCGTCTGAGCTGGGACCAGTGTCTTGGCTTTTCAAACTCCTTTTTGGCTCCCCAGTCGCCTAGGACTGTAGAGAATAAAACATGAAGGAATACCTGCAACAACATGCAGTTTCACTGATCGTTTCCAAAACAATCGTGCCCCACAGCCCATGAATAAACAAAACCAATCCCCAAAGCAGGCCCCCACAGCCCGAACCCATGACCAAACCCCGGAACAAAGCAAAGATTTATTTTTTTTTTCCCGTGTAACACACCAGCGTTCAATCTGGGCACCGAGTACCTGCCCAGCTGACAGCCGAGCGCTGCGCCGTGCCCCCGCGGCTCTTCATCAGAGGGGAGACGTTGGCAGCGGTGCAGGCGGGTGATGCACAACGATACGGCTGCGGACCGCCCAGGGGTAGGAAATAACACCCCCGCGCCGGGGCGCCCGTGCTCGCACCTGTGCCCGGCCCGCCCCGCCGGCAGCGCTGGACCCGGCCCTCGCCCTGCCGAGCGCCTGCCCCAGCGGCGGGGGGCGCGCAGCCGGCTCGGCCCGGCCCGCCTCAGGAAGTGCCGGTAGGGAGGCGGCGGGGGCCGGGCCGGGTTGGGCTGTCAGCGCGGCAAGGGGCAGCGGCAGCGGCGGGCGGGCGGGGAGCGGAGCAGGTCGGAACAATAGCGGGTGGAGGGGAGGGGGCTGGCGGCGGCTGGGCTCGGCACCGGCACCCCGCCCCAGGCCGTGCCGCCCAGCGCAGCCCAGGGTCAGCGCAGCCCAGCCCCGGGGCAGCCGCCCCGCAGACACCGCGGAAGGGATGATCCTGGCGGCGCTCTGTTGGGCTCGCTGCTAAACGCGCCTCCATCCCTCCCTCTCCTCCTCTTCTCCCTCCCTCTTTTTCTCTCTCTCGGCTTTCCTCCTCCCTAACTCACTGGATATTGCCAGCCGCCGGGCTCGCCGCTACCTCTCCCCCAGCCATGAATCCCGCCGAAGGAGCGGCAGAAGAAGGCGCTGTCCCCGACTCCGAGGTGGATGCTTTCTTCCGAACAGGTAGGGTAGCTGCAGGGGAAGGGGTCGGGGAGCGCCGGGCCCTACCTCCACCGTGGGATGCGGGGCTTGCGGCGGCGCGAGCACTGCCGGCAGTGGAGCTGCGAGAAGGGGAGAGGAGAAGGGCATGGCATGGAGGGGTCCCCAGCCTGCCTCCTTGCTTTGTCCGCCGCAGACCCTCGGCTCGTCCGTGCCCCGCTCCCCCTCCCGCCTCCGGGAGGATGCTACCGCGGGGTTACGCGCCCGCCGCCGACCTCCTCGGGAGGGGAGTCGCCCCGGGCATGCACAAAAGCCTCGCGGGGATGCTCGGGGAAAGCAGCTGCGTTGCCGCTCCCGCGGGAGGCTGCACCGGCTGGGCCCTGCCTGGCCCCCTCCCCGGGCGGCGGCGGTGGCCGCCCGGCTACCGGCCGATATTTGGAAGCGCAGCCGGCGAAGCGCTGGGCGCTATTGCTGCCGCTCTCGGGTGGGTAGCGAGGGCAGAGGCACTCAAGGCACCGGTTGCCTGCAGCCCCGCTGCCGGCTGGGGACGCTGACCTCTCGGGGACGGGCTAGCAGAGTGTTTCAGGGCTGCATGAGGAGAGCTCTGTGTTTCGCTCTCCCGTTTCAGAGGATGCTGAAGTGGAGCAGAAGTGTAGCTGGGCTACAGCAGAGTGTGGTGGGGGGCCTTCGCTAATGATACAGTGGTTAATTAAATTCTGTGGGCAGTGGGTACGTGCTGGGGTCCTCACTGCACCACCTGTTTGTGGTGTTTGTGTGGGAACCCCCAGTTCTGAAACGTGGCTTTGCACCGTATCAGCATCTCAACTGAAGCAACTCGTGGTCTGTGTTGTGTCCGTGTGTCATCGTTGTCTCTTCTCCCTCTCCTCCCCCAACAAGATCTTGAGGAAGTATTATAGGTTTCTTGGTAGATTTTTAGTTTAAAAATGTAAAGGATTAAATGTTTATTTCATAAGGGGATTGACCCTTTTAGGCTAGACTGACACTTATTGCCACAGCTGCTTGTCAACACTTTGCTTTTCAGCTGTTTTCCTCCTTCTACCTGCTCATTAGCTACACACAGTGCTTTGAGCCCCAGCTGCAAGAAACCAATTATGTAATCACCAAAACTTTAAAGAAGTAAAATCCTGAAGGCCTGCAGCAGCTCCCTGCTATGGTAGACTGCACCCCACTTATGTGAAAACCCTTTGATCTAGAGGATAACTATAATAAGGTCTGGCTGTGCATATCTTGTGATCCAGAAGCCATTAAGCCATAGGATATTTGCTTGTTGATAGCCTACCTGGTAACAAGCTATTTTCCAAACTCTCAACAATGACAGATGTGTTTAAAAACTAGGAAAAAACCCAAAACAAAACCAAACAGAACCACAAAAAACCAACAATCCCAAAACCCAAGGAAAAATAGTAACTCACCAATTTTCCTTTTAAAAGGAACCAGTTAATTAATGTTCTCTCCATTTTTCTCTTTCTCCCTCTCTCCCCTCCTTCATCCAAAGCTGTATCATTTCTCTGTGACACTGCCTCCTCAACATAAGCACGTTTGCAGAATTGAATTTGGACAGTCAAGTCTGTCTAGCTTATATGGAAAAAGTATTCCTAAATGAGGCAAAAAGCATAGGAACCATGTGACTGGACATTTCTCCCAGTCTGCCTCCTTCACCTGAAATTTCACCTGTAGGTCCATGAATATATTTGTCACCTAGAGAGCTCTGGAAGTCTTTTAAAATCTCTGCATGTGGAGGAAACAAATTCACAGGAACCTGGGCTTGAAGGAGGTGCCTAGGCCATGTCCTGCCACTGAAGCATAGGCCATCACTGAAGGTTGTCTCATCTACCTTAAGCTTCATGGAAGGAGATGTCAAAATTCTTCTTTCTGTGCTGTTATGGAGCATCCTGTGCCTGAAAAGATGACATGAAGAAAAACCCCAACCTAACCCTATTAGTAATTAATTTTGGTTGTCAGCTGTCACACTGGCCAGGCAACATCACTGGGAAATGGGGAAAAGCTTGAGAGCAGGCATGACTCGCATGAAATTGCACTGCTGGTTTCCTGCTTGTTTGTGCACTGTTCACTTCTGGGGTGTGTACTGCTGATGTGCCTGACTGAAGTTGGTTTTAACGGGTGGCAGAGAGAACAGCTGGTGTGGGACATTGGGAAACAACTGCAGGTAGAACACAACTGACTCTTCCACTTCTGTTTTTGGCTGTCAGTGGTAATCTTGCTTGAGTAAGGACTGTGAGATAGGGTCTGATTTATAAATAGCTGCAGAGGCCTGCATTGACTTAGCATCATTTTCCCCTTGATGTTAGCTTTTTTTTACTATTCTTTCTGTCCTGACTTGTATTCTGAATTTGTAAAGCATAACCATTGTGGCTTAAAAGCCCTCATATATTCACATCAAATAAAAAAATGAATCTATCTATCTGGTTTATTAGCTGCTCCAATAGCACAATTGTACACTAAACTGCCTAAACTCTTCCCAAATTCACAGCTACTACATGGAAAAGCATGAACTTGTTATTCTTGGGGGGGGAAAAAAAAAAAAAGAAATTGAACAACTAGTGTCTTCCTCTGAGGCTTTTAGCACCTGGCTGGGCTTTGCACTGTGCTGGGAGGATGCCTAGGCTGCTCCCTGGTATCAGCAGAAGAGCCTGATGCTGTGAATGGCGCCATGTGCAGTGTTTCCCCCCGCAGCACCCAAACACTTAGGGGTAGTAGTCCCTCATCAGCCATGACAACTGAGATAGTAGCTCTCTGAGCTGGATCTGGAAAGTTAAACTGAAGGAATTAACACAAGGTAATAAAGAAGGGTCTGTTCTGGTGCTTACTGTGATGAAAACTAGGAATGACTTTTTTAAAAAGGCTGGATTTAACACCTGTGTGCTTGATGCTGGCAGTCAGTCAAACCTCCCTGGAGACAGGCAGGGCTGGGACTGTTCTGATTTTCACCATCAGATATATGCAGCGAGTAATTCAGTCTTTTAGAGAATCACTCCCATGCAAGTGGGCTAAAAATTAACAGGGAGAAGGACCTTAAGGGCAGAAACGACTATTGCAGTCCCCAGCTCTGATTTCTGGGATAACAGTGGCTGCTGAATTGAGGCAGTAATTTCTGCACGATGTCTATCACTTCTGTTTGAACTTATATTTGAGTAAGAAACCAAATCTATGCCTAGGTATGCCTTATTAAGTTTCTAACATTTATTTTGGTGACAGATAAAATATGAGCAAGTTCTCTGGAACTCTCAGTCTATATTAAATGTGTACTGAGACTTTTATATTGCATGGAATTGAATCCAACTACTTGTTGTTTCAAATATAAAGTAAGTCACTTTATAAAGCATACAAATGACAGATATCCTTTGGATACAGATACAGAAGAAAAGCTTTACCTTCATGCCTAACCTGCAGGAACTTCTGCAGTGTGTTTTCGAGGCAGAAGCGAAACATACAAGGAAGTCCTTTACAAAAAAATATTTATAGAGGTCAGTGAGAACAATTTAGCAAACTACCAATTACTGGCAAGGGTAATCATCAATAAGAAATATCCACTAGAAAGCACAGTTTTATTTTCCAATTTATTTTTCTGGCACTTAAGTTAACATTGATTATATCTGATACAAAAATGCTGACTCTGTCATCAATACTTCCTGTGAGTTGAAAATTGATATTGTTCCATCTCCTTTGACTGTGATGAATTATTCCGTTTGCTTTCTGCTTTCCACTAGCTGGTTATACTTCCAGTGTTCATTTGTGCATGAGTGACTGGCAGTTCCGCTATTAAATAACTTTACAATGACTGGCAGTGGCCAGGCTGTTTGATCAATAGATATGCTTGAAATGATGTCTGCAGAGAAGTGCTCCTTGAGGTTGATGGAATCAAGTGTCTTCTAAAGCACATAAATTGATTCAGTTGAGTTGCTACTGGGGGTGAGGTGTTCGCATGACTCCTGGCTTCCTTACCTTGAGGCTTTATAATTTATAAGGCCTGGTCTAGTAATATGTCCTGTAAAGGAGACTGTTGTAGAAAAGACTGTCAGGTTGTGCCTACCAATTGGAAAGCTCCTGTGTTCTTTAAGGTGATGCTGCTAATTAAAACCTGTACTGCTCTCTGGAGCCTTTGACATCTGGCCCTGTCAGGAATATGAGTCCTGTTCCTTTCTTTACTTACTGTCTAATATAGTTTTTTTTTCATATGATTGATGTTGGGAGGACAGTTATGTCACTACATGTGGCGACCCAGCTCGTCCCAAGCCTCTGTCACTGGGTGCCCATTGCGTAGGGAAGGCTGCATGGCTCTGCCCTGCTGTTATCCCATCACTGCCTCCTCCTCAGGACTCTTGGAGGAAGCTTTGCTAGTCTGGAAATTGGCATGTAGACACGGCAAAGGACATAGGTGATTTGAGAGGTCTTGGTAGGTATGTGACTAAAGGGAAGGATCGCTTTCTGTCTTTTCCTAGAAGGAAGCAATTTTAATTGGTGATTTATGTTTAGAAAGGCATTTCTTTCCTGTACCTCTTCCTTCCTCCACACTCAGAAGTACATACAGGGCAACGGAGGTGACATCTGATAGTCATCTACAATGTCTTTCTTCTGGATGAGATTGCATTGTGTTATAGACCAGTAGGAAGACATTTATTCTATTTGATATTAATTCAATTTATATTGAGCAGAATTACTTCCAGAGGAAGCAGCCCTTCACACCTAGCTTATGTTTAGAGCTTGTACATACTGAACTTCACAATCCTTGATGTTCAAGACAGGGTGCAATCAGGTATAATATGTATAAGGTTATAGCACAGACATTAGTAAACTGTGCATGCAATACAGTAAGCTTTATATGGCACCTACAGAAGTCATTGGGGGGAAACATGTAGCCTACACTGCATTTTGGGGTTGAAACTCTGAAAGAAGAAATGTGTTATCCCAAAGTCATCAAGGAGGAGTCCTGTATAACACTCTTAGTACCTGTATAGACCATTTTGCATGTGGCCTTAGGTGGC